ATACACTTAATGCTCCAGAGCCTCGAAATAAATTTAAAGGTGGAGAAAAAAGTGCTTTATGGTTTATTTATATAAAATGTGAATTCCTGGAAGGAACTATTCTGTCTCCATTCTCTACAGTTCTGCAGATAATTTTGGCCCTTGGCAAATAGGAACTAAAGTTTTCAGTGAGTATGATCTTAGGGTCTGATTTGTTAGAACAGATTTGGTTCAGAAGCCCCTGAAGAATCTTTAGGCCCATATAGCTGGTCTCATTCTGAAGCTGGAAGGAGCCTCTGCCTCCTGTACCCAATGTGCTCAGTTTCCATTGAGTCTATTACTGGCACAGATTCAACCACAGATAGTTGAATAGTACAGCCCAGGCGGGCCTGTGCCTGTCAACTTACGTTCCTCGTAGTGAGTTCCTTTAGGATAAGATCACGTCAACCTCAGAATCACAGAACTTTCCAAATAGAACCTGGTTCCCTGAAATCCTGATATTGACACACCATTTTTTACTGTCTTTTTCCCCTGCTGATCTGAATGCCCATCCTGTGGTGGCACACCTCAGGATTTGAGGGTACAGGGAAAGGTTATAAGCCCTTAGAGTTGTCTTGAGAGAAGAATCAAATAGTTGCTAATGCTATTGGTACATGGCCTACTTTATGAAGGAAAACCAAGTGTTTGTGTGTCTGTTTGGCTCCATTTTTACATAAAACACAAGGGTATCTTTCTAAGTAATTCATTATGTAAATTTGTCCTTAATTCAAGGCTAGCAAATACTGAACACAAAATATCATCCTGGATTCTTGAGGATTCTAAGACAGAGAAGACAACTTCTCAGACCCTAAAGGTGTATGTTCTAATAGGGACGGGAGTTCCATAAGCAGCAGACAGTTGATGATTATAGAAAACACAAATTTAGTAACAAGGGAGAGTGAGAAATTAATCCTCACTAGGTTTGGGAGGGTTTCTTAAAAGAAGTGGGGTTTGAGCTGGGATTTTAAAAAGGAGGAGAACCTCAACAGGTAGGTATAAAAGGGAACACATTTGTTATACACTCATAGGTCCCTGCATGTTACAGATTGCCAGGTCTCCAGGTCTCCATCTTGCTCTCACACGCAGAGTTGCTTCTGATGAAAGGTCTTGGGTCTAATGTCAGAGTCCATGTTTTGCTAATGCTCTGGTTGAAGAAGTTGCTAGTGGAAGTCATGTCTAGTTTTAGGATAAGATCCACAATCAAATTTTGGGAAGTCCTTCATCTTCTAGATAGATGGACTGTGAGGCCTAGAGAGGGCCTCACTGCCTCTACTGGCCAGTCCAGTGGACATGTTTTGTCTAGAAATTTCCCAGGCCAAGCCAGGGAAGTGGTGTGGATTTCCTGCTATGACTCTGCTAAAAACAAAAAAATCAGTTAGTGCTCCTGAGTGGGAAAAGTGTGATTTCTGCCATGATGCTGAAAAAAAAAAAAAAGAATTGGTAAAGATAAAGATTTGCAAAGTGGACTGGGAGTACTTCTTGTTTAAAAACATTGCTGTTTATCTCATATGAAATGTTTTAAATCTTCATTAAAGAATATAATTTTCATTTATACTCTGAAATAAACCGCATTTACTAATTAAGTAACTTACAGAGTGTCAAGGAAAGACAAAATAAACTAACTTGAAAGCCTCTGTTCAGCAGATAGGAGTAGATAAGCTGGAAGATATTAATGAGATGGGGAGAAAGTCAGGTTTCTTCTCTCAATCAGAGAAAAAGAAAGGCAATCACAAACTGTAGCATAAACAAAAGTCTTATAAGAAAATCAGGGCTTTTACAAGAGACTCATTTCAGATTGAAAGACACACAGACTAAAAGGAAAGGGATGGAAAAAGATATTTTATGAAAATGGAGACAAAAAAAAAAAAAGCTGGGTAGCAATACTTATACCAGACAAAATAAACTTTGAAACAAAGGCTATAACAAGAGATATAGAAGGACCCGGTAATTCCACTTTTGGGTATTCAAAGCACTAATTTGAAAAGACATATGCAGCCATATGTTCATTGCAGCATTATTTACAATAGCCAAGGTATGGAAGCAACCTAAGTGTCCATCAATACATGATGGCTAAAGAAGTGGTACATATATACAATGGAATATTACTCAGCCATAAAGAGAATGAAATCTTGCCACCTGAAACAACATGGATGGACCTGGGGGTATTGTGCTGAGTGGAGTAGGTCAAACAGAGAATAACAAATACCATATGATTTCACTTATATGTGGAATCTAAAAACCAAATAAACAAAACAGAAAGAGACTCATAGACACTGAGAACATTTTGATGGTTGCCAGATGGGAGGGGAGTTGGAGAGATGGGTGAAAAAGGTGAAGTGATTAAGAAGTACAAATTGGTAGTTACAAAATAGCCATGGGGATGTTTACAGCATAGGGAACATAGTCAATAATATTGTAATAACTATGATGTCAAGTGGGCACTAGATTTCTTGGGATGATCATAAGTTATATACATTTCTAATCAATATGTTGTACACCTGAAACTAATATAATATTGTATGTCAACTGTAATTGAAAAATAATTATTTAAAAAATAAAAAAGGAAGTCATGTCTCAAGTGTGAAGCCAAATAAAATACAGCATGATTTTGAGAAATTTATGAGTGTAAGAAAGAACATTCCATTTACCACATTCTCCTTAAGTAACACAGGGGTCAAAAACTGTCTCTTTAGGGAAAAAAATTGTGGTCCATTGCAGTGAACAATATTTGCATAATCACCATATTGTAAACGCTGTTGACAGGCTTTTCAGCTTTTAAAATCCAGTTATAGACAAAATAGGGAAGACAAATATGTTTACAGAACAGGAATGGATATATTATCAGTGTCAACAACATACAAGCAAAGTAGATGGAAGTTGAGAGTTGGAAATGGGGAGGAGAGGGCGAAAGCTGGGTGGGGGCTGTCACACTTGTCTTATATGGTAAGAAGTCCACATACGCATATTGATGATTGAGTAAGCTGAGGTTTTCCGTTTATTACTTAAGTTACAAATTTGGGTAACCGATAGAAGAATTAAAGAGAACGATATCGCTATTGAAGGGGTTCAGAACATGCCTCTCCAAAATATGCCACTTTGGCATATTGATTATTTTGAGTGGAAGTCATCTGAGAAACAGCAGGTGCAGGGAGGGCTGTCTGATTTCCCTCTTTCCACCTAAAATCAGGTCATAAAGTTTTGGTGATAAAGGTGCCCCCCCCCGCCCCCCATCAGGAAAGGAAGAACATTCTTATCACCAGAGACTGGGAGTCAATGCCAAAATGAACCTGTGCAAGCAAACCTACCCAAATAACCCTCATCTTCCACTAGTTTCCCTCATACATTTCTTAGTCACTTTCCCACAGTTGACTGCCCCTAGCCCAAGCCCCTTTTCTTCTTTATATCCCTGCCATTTACCATCCTTTTTGTGAAAAAGTATTAGCTTTAGGGCCTAACAGCTTCTTCAGATCTTCTTCTTTTTTTTTTTTTTTAAGATTTTATTGGGGAATTGGGGGAATGGGAACAGCGCTGGGGAATCGGGGAAGGGGAACAGACAAGTTGCTGTCCTTTCGTTCTTCAGTCTAGTGGAGGACGTCGCTTCACTGGCCCAAGTTAGCACCATCATTGCGCTCTTCCCTAGTGAGGCAGATCAGCCGCTGGCCTCTGGACAGCCGCTCACTGCAGCTGCTGGCTACACACGTAGCCCATGACAACTCACCTGCCGCCTCAGGCGACTCACGGCAGCCCAGCTCCAGGTTGAGCTGTTGTTCAGCATCTTAGCTGTAGAGGGCAGCATCACTGGCCCTCATATGTGGGATCCGAACCGGGGCCCTCTGGAGTCCCAAGCTAGCCTCTTAACCAGCACGCCACTCAGCCGGCCCAGATCTTCATTTTTTTTTTTTCGGAACCTCCCATGTACAAATAAAAATATTAAATAAAAATTGTATACTTTTCTCCTATTAATCTGTCTTAGGTCGTTTAATTCTTAGGCCAGCTACAGAACTGAAGAGGTTTGTAGAAGGAAGTTTTTTCCTCCACTACGCTATCAAAAACTGGAAGGACTGGGAAAGGGAAGGGAAGCAGTATAAATTAAATAATTTTTCAGGATGGGCAGTTAAAAAATAATATCCAAAGAAATAGCAGTCTAAGTATATTGTGAGTCATGAAGATAATCCACAGAACTACAGACAGAAGTGGTTGTAAGTGGTAACCTCTGGGAGGTGGTACTAGAACTGAGCAGGGATTAGGCGGAGGCACAATTTTAATGTCAGATAAGCAATTGCTTTGGTAAAAAGAACTGAGAAAAAAAAGTTGTATTGTCCAGCAACAATCCAAAGAGCAACATGATAATTAGATATCCCAGTGAATTCTAGTTACTTGAGTTTTGAAACTAGGTAAAGAAACACTTCAGTGATGGAGAAATACTAAGTATAACTGCAGATATTTCATTACCTAAAATTTTAAATGTAGCCTATAAGTATTTTAAACTTTCCTAAATTTGCCCTCAGGCAGGAAAAAGAGCTAGTTCAACTCTGGTATAGCTATTTGAATGCCACTTTAGTTAAGAGGTCTTGTATTTTTTTTTTTCTTGAAGTGAGACAAAATGAACTGCTGTGAGATACTTCTCGAAGGTGTAAAATCCCTGGAATAATCCAGAATTTAGCCTATTCAGTATAACATTTAAGCTTTTTCCTTGTGCAAAATTTTCAATTTCTTTTTTCCCCATAAGAACACATCTCTCATTTTATAATGCCAATCATTGAAAAGATAACATATATAAATATTAGCTTTGGACTTCTCCATTTCCAAGGTCAGGGAGCCAGGCTCCAGGGTAGCATCTCCAGTGGCTGTATAGGTGTGCTCTGAGGGTGCCGACTGGGGTGGGGTGGGAAGAGATGCTGCTATGCAATACCACGTATCTGTGGTGCCATCCTGTGGTTGTGATGCTAAACTAGAGCATGTTTTCATTTTCTTCTTTCCAGGAAGGCCCTTTTGTCTACTTGTCTCTCACAGGAAACATTGCAAATTCTGATGGCTTGATTGCCTCATTGTGTAAGTAATTTTAAATGTTTGCATTTGAAATGTTTGAGATTAATTGCATGTGTGGTTGTCAATTAAATGAGTACCTGTATCCCATCCTGTATGATTTCATTTATATAAAATGTCCAGAGTAAGTGAATCTGTAGAGACAGATTACAGATTAGTGGTTGCCTGGGGGTTGCAGGAGAGAAGAGGGATGTTGCAGGGACGTGGAGAATGACTGATAATGGGTATAGGTTTTTTCGGGGGGTGATGAAATGTTCTAAAATGAAACTGTGGTGATTCAAATCTGAATTCACAAAAACCCACTGAATGGTACACTTTAAACAGGTAAATTGTATGGCATGTGAATTGTATTTTAATAAAGCTTTGTATTAAACATGTTTGTAGTGAGTGCACATTGAAGCATTTGCAGTATTTAAACTGGATGTCTTTCATATTTGTAATGTCAACTTTCATATATATACATATATACAAGATATATATATATATATATATATATATATATATATATATATATATATATATATATATATCTTGTAGAGAATTTCCAAAAATCTTGCACTACAGAGATATTAACTTGTTTTCTTATCTCCTTCATGCTCACTATAAATCAGTCCACATTCAATCAGTTAGTGTTGACTGGCTCCCATATGCCACGTCAACACTAACAGACACGTAAACTGGCCCACAACAGGGCACTGTGCCTCTGTGATCAAACTGCCTTGCGCGGGATAACTTCTTTCAGATTTTGCGTCTAAAATTCCTCGTTGTTTATCTCATTTCTTCCACAATGCTGAAATGATCTCCCCCAGCCAGGATCTGTGTTGGGACTCCTGTTTATCACTAGTGTTAGGAAACTCATTCTAGAGAATTGATTCAGCTACAGTTAGTGCTTCTCAAGGCAAAACGTGTATCCTCTTGGCTGCCTCTCAGGTCCGAGCCAGTGGTAGCTCAAGGAGCCTGAGCCCCGCGCCTGGAGTCCAGCTCCTTCCGCCCCACCAGCTGTGCACCTTTTTGGTGAGTAAGCCGGACTACACTGTGCTTGAGAATTGCTGGGGACGCCCAGGGGCTGGAGGACGCCAGCCTAAGCCATCGTCCTCCCCGCTGGCTGCCCTGCCTGGCTTCAGAGAAAGGGACACGCCCAGAATTGGCTCAGTCCTACGAAATGCAAACATCTAACTCAAACTTTATCCATCATCTTCAGTTTACATTTTCACCTTTAAAAAAAGTGAAAACTCGTTTAATGGAGGTGCCCTTTTTCTCGTGAAAGTGAAAATCCAGTAGGTAATATAAAGTCGTGCTTCTTGGGCTTTAAAGAGCACTGATTGCCTGGGGCTCTTGTTAAAATACAGGTTCTGATTCTCAGGATCTGATAAGGCCTCCCAGATGTTCATCTGTGGACTGTCCTTTGTTCACCAGGATGTAGAGCTGGGCTGTTGACATTCCATAGACCTTGGTAAAGAAAAATTAGTCATGAACTTGTTAAAGATGGTCAGGAGGACTTTATTCAAGAAGCACCACTGCAGTGGGGCTTTGCAATACGGGGGCGAGATCAGGCTCAACTCCAGATATAACAAGGACAAGTGGAGGGCCGACAGAGCGGTGCGTGGGTTAAGAGTTGGCTTGGGACGCCAGAGGGCCCCGGTTCGGATCCCACATGTGAGGGCCCGTGACACTGCCCTCTACAGCTAAGATGCTGAACAACAGCTCAACCTGGAGCTGGGCTGCCGTGAATCCCCGGGGTAGGCTGCAGCCCCTGCTGCAGTGGGTTGCCATGGGCTACCATTTGTAGCCAGCAGCCAGCGTGAACTGCCAGCAGCAGAAGCCAGCGACTGATCTGCCTCGCCTGGGAAGAGCGCAATGATGGTGCCAACTTGGGCCAGTGAAGCAACATCCTCCACAACTAGACTGAAGAACAAAAAGACAGCAACTTGTCTGTTCCCCTTCCCCCAATTCCCCAGCGCTGTTCCCATCCCCCAATTCCCCAATAAAAATCTTTAAAAAACAAAACAAAAAAACAAGGACAAGTGGAGGTTGATAGCCAAGGAGCAAGGTGGGCTCAGTGGATGGAAAATTATTAAAAAGAAACATCAAGGCTGGAGGATATTTCACAAACCCACTAGCTGGATTGTTGCTGAAGGCAGGCTGGGGTGATAAGGTATGGAGGGTGGGGGGTGAGGAATTGGATCACACAGCTGCATCCCTATGTTCACTGCAGCATTGTTTACAACAGCCAGGACATTGAAACAACCTAAGTGTCCATCACAGATGAATGGGTAAAGAAAACGTGGTCTATATACCGGGGGTGACAAAAAAAATGTACACAAGTGTACACTTTGGTCAACGTTGCTTAAGCAGTAGTTCGCCATAATCAGAAGTGCCTGGACGCTGATGGTAACCACTTTGAGCACCTCTTGTAATTGCAGAAGCCAAATGTGATTTGTATTCATCTTTTGTTATCGGTATATATTGAGTATCACAATTTTAATACAGTTTTTCTTTCTTACAATGTGTATACATTTTTTGGCACCCTCTGTATGTCCAATGGAATATTATTCAGCCATTAAAAAAAGAAGGAAAATCTGCCATTTGTGACAATATGGATGGACCTTGAGGGCATTATGCTAAGTGAAATAAGTCAGACAGAAAAAGATACTATATGATCTCACTTATATGTGGAATCTAAAAAACAAACAAACCCAGACTCACAGAAAAAGAGATCAGATTTGTGGTTATCAGAGGCAGAGTTGGGAGATGAGGGAATTAGATGAAGGTGGTCAAAACGTACAAATTTCCAGTCATGTGATAAATAGTACTGAGGATGTAATGTACAACATGGTGACTATAGTTAACACTGCTGTAAGTTAAGACAGTAAATCAATCCTAAGCGTTCTCATCACAAGTAAAAGAAACCAAACAACATTTTTTCTTTTTCTTTCTTAATCTATATGTGATGATGGATGCTAACTAAACTGGTGGTAATCATCTCACAATATATGTAAGTCAAGTCATTATGCTGTACACCTTAAACCTATACAGTGCTATGTGTCAATTATATTCTCAATAAAACTGGGGGGGAAAAGTGATCAGATACCAAGAATTGGGACTTTCACTGCACTGACTCAGCTGGATTCTTGGTAAAAACTGGACGAAGCAGGGACAGAGCCCAAGGTTAAGGCCTTGTTGAGAAGGGGCTCTGAGAAGTGAGAAGGTCTTTGTTACCCCCTATCATCTCCTAATCTCCGCTCTGTGGGAAAGGGCACAGCTGTGGCTCGGGGCCTGGAGACATACTCCAGTCTTGAGTGTGCATCCTTCCCTCCAAACCTCTGCCTAAACCTGTCAGTCACAAAGTAAATGAGAATGACCACAGACAGCATTAGGCTTATCAATGCTGTTTGCCCTTATGCTGTAGGTATTTAATCAGCAAAGAGATGGGCAGGGTTAAGCAGTAGATGAGGAGGTACCAGAAGCTTGATACGCGGGGACTGAGGGCCGAAGGGCCTGCTTTTGCTGTCCACCCCCCTACCCCTGCCTTCTGCTCTGGCTTTAACCTTGCACCCCCACCCCACCCCCACTGCCTTCTTCAGCTTTGCTGAATTAAATATAGTTTCAGACATGCCATGTTCTCTCGGCTCCAGGCCTTTGCACGTGCTCCTCCCTGAAACACCCTTCTCCTTCACCCAGTTCAGGAGTCATCTCTTGTGGTGTAAGGCCTGAAATGAAGATCCAATATTCTGAGTGCCTTGACATCTGGTAAAATCCAGGGGGCCTCAAATGGCCTAACTGCAAGTCCCGGCCCCACCTTGCTTTCTCATAAAAGGTGAAGAGGAAGTGATCAAAACGCCTCATCTCCCTTGTCTGGCTTAGGTGCTTCTTCCTCCGTGTCCCATACTCTGTCACCATCACTCAATGCATGGTTTGACCTCACAAATGCCGTCATACTTCGTGTCCCAGTTGCTGTGAGTCTGTATGCTCCAAAAGATGTGCTGAATTAAAGAGTGAATGAATGGTGGTGTATTTATGAATGTCTGAACACCCACTAATCTCCTAGCTCCTACAGCATTGACATTTTACCTGTGATATTTTCTTTGATTTGGATGCACACAAGGGTACGTTTTGCCTATTGTATACATGTTTAAATGTAGAGGAAAAATTTTTACTTTTACTAGTTGTGTTGTTTTCCGGTTAGTTATGGCTGGCAATCAGCTCAGGACAAGATGGATGGCTGTGCCTGGCCTGCTGCTTGTGTTGTCCTTTCACAGAATCTCCTCTCAGCATGTGTCTGTGTGTTATCTCATTAAATAGCTAATCCTGTTTACTGGCCTCCTCAGAACAGCCTTTCATTAGAACCCTTTATCCCTGGCCCCAGGGAGCCTAACTCTGGCCACTAAGTGACAAGAGCCTCTGCTGCTCAGCCCAATCAGAACATGTCGCTAATTTTTTACTATTCATACCTTTTCTTTCTTTTTTTAAAAAATTATTTATTGGGGTAACAATTGTTAGTAAAGTTGCATAGGTTTCAAGTGTACAATTCTGTAATACATCATCTATATATCACATTGTGTGTTCACCACCCAGAGTCAGTTCTCCTTCTATCACCATATATTTGACCCCCTTTACCCTCTTCTACCATCCTCCTCCCCACATACCCTCTGCTAAACTATTGTCTGTGTCTATGAGTTTTTGTTTCTTCATTTGTTTGTCTTGTTCCTTTCTTGTTTTCAGTGTTATATACCACATATTAGTGAAATTATGGTTCTTAACTTTTCTGTCTGACTTATTTTGCTTAGCCTGATAATCTCAAGACCCATCCATGTTGTCACAAATGGCACTATTTCATCTTTTCTTAGGGCAGAATTGCATTCCATTGTCATTCATACCTTTTCTAAATAATGTGAGAATAGGATTTAAAGGGAGAGAAGGTGGGGACTTCTTTTTTTTTACTTTGATTATTTGAGATCTTAGGACCAACATGTATTACTTGATAAGAGAGAAAGAGAGGAGGGAGGGAGAGAGGGGGAGGGAGACTGAGAGGGAGGAAAGAAAGAAAGAGGGAGAGGGAGGGAGAGAGAAAGAGGGAGAGAGAGAGAAAGAGAGAGGGAGAGGGGAAGGGAAGGGAAAGGAAGGGAAAAAGAGGGAAAGAGGGAGGAATGTAGGGAGGAAGGGGAATATATATGGTTTCACCCAGTGCATGGCTCTCAGTCCAGCTCTAAAAAGACTTTCATACCTCACGGTGCTTTCTAGAAGAAACAATCGTGATAATGGAGTCCGGAAAGGTTTCTTAGCTCCCCATAGCACAATAGAGGTTTTTGTGGTGGCTGTTAGTGAAATGTAGCAGACTGAAATGCCCCGTTTGTCCATTTTGGATTCATTCTGTAGTCCAGACTCCATTATTCCCCTCCTCTTCCTTCTGCCCCCTCAGCACTCAACAAACACGTGTTTTAAAATAAGTACTTCCTTAATAATTTTTCCACATCTAAATTATACTTACAGACTTTATATTGAAAGTTTAAAGGAATTATATTGCATTTACCAAGATAATTATTAAAGACTGTCTTTGCAAAATATGACTGTCGAGTTAATTTAGAATTCTGCTGCTTATAATGAAAAGGTGGGGGTGAAGAGGGCACATATGTGAAAGCACTTTGGAAACTAAATTATTTTATCAATATAACATGATATTATTGCCAGATAAGTAACAAAGTGTGTTTTGTTTTTAGGGCAAGAATATGGCAAAGCTGATGCAAGATGGCTTAATTTCGACCCAACCATTGTGTCTTTGGAAATTCTGACAGTTGTCCTAGATGGGTCTCTGGCATTGGTTCTCATTTATGCCATAGTCAAAGAGAAATATTATCGGTAAGTGCCCTGCTCCTGTCCTGCTGAAAAGAGGAGAAGCATCAGCTGTCCTAATGCCTAAGTGACATTTGGAGTAGATTATGACCACATTTCTTTGTTAGACAAAAATTAGAGTAGAAATGAAAATTGTTTGATATTAAATAAGGATCCTTGTGCCAGCAGGATCATTTCAGATGGTTCCAAAGAAATTATGAGGAATATGATTATAGTGACAACCTAGTCACTGTAGGCAAGCACGTAGTTAACAGCACTGGATGATATGCCACCAATATTTTGAAGAATAAAGGGGTAATATTTCCATTCTTTTTTTCCCCCCAAAATCACTCCAGAAAAACTCCTATTCCATTTGACACAAAGTAAATTCTCTTACATAATTCTGAACTAGACATGCCAGATAAATGAGAAATCTTTTCAGAAGCAGGTTGGAAGATATGAGGAAGGCAGAAGCATAGGGAGAGGAAGGAGAAAGGTGGAAGATTAACTATCCATCAGTCAAACTCTGAGACTTTGAATTCTCCTCCCTCCCTCCCTTTTCCTTCCTCTCCTTCTTAGGGACAAAGTGACCTGGGGCAAATAGATTGCTAGCCTGGAGATGATGCCCTAAAACAGTGTCAGGTAGGCACAGTTGCATTCAGTTTTCTACCATCTTGCACTGAAGACATCTTATTTATTTAAAGCTTCATTATAAAATTTCAGATTTGAAAGAGACCCCACGGGTCATTTAATCCACTTTTCCCCACCCAGTTGTACATAGATAGTGAGCAGTAAAAAGTAAATTTCTCCTTGGTGCCTTGACATATCTTTGATTCCTGATCATGAATGTATCCTTACTATATGCACCCATTAGCTTCTTATTTAAAGCACTTATAATATCTGCATTGTTGAGTGCTTACTATGTGCCAGGCACAGTGCTCAGCCCTTTCTCTATATCTCATTCAATCTCTGCAAGATTATTTGAGGAAAGGGTTATTATTATTATTATCCTATTTTACAACTGGTGAAATTGCAGCTCATAACAAGATTCACACCCAGGTCTGTCTTTGCTGGGTCATGTGAGACCTCACTAAATCCTCCCAAGAATAGGACAGAATACCCAAGAGACCTTACTTAACTCTTGAGAATAGTGTTCTAGAATGGACAGCGTTGCTTCTTCAAAGAAAACAGGGGTCTTCATTAATTAGATTGCACTGCCTCATCAAAGGAGCGCCACACGAAGCCTGAGGTCCAACTTCAGAGAGGTTTTCTGCCCTGGAAGACTGTGTTGATGCCGCTGTTAAAGAAAAGGTTCAGGGTGCTGAGCTGGCAGTTTCATTCCTTGTTTCTTTCTCTCTAACAGGCATTTCATACAGATCACCCTGTGCGTGTGTGAATTGTATGGCGGGTGGATGACCTTCTCCCCAGACTGGCTTATGGGAAGCCCCAACCTCAACACCAACAACTGGCTCTACTTTTGGGTCTATCTGGTATTTTTCAATAGTGTGTGGGTTCTGATCCCAGGACTGTTACTGTGGCAGTCATGGGTAGAACTCGAGAAAATGTATCACAAAGGAAATAGTTTAGGGAAAAAGTTTCAGTGAATTTTCAAAATCATAAATGTTATAATCTTGCTTTATGAGCCAGAATAGGTCAAATCTTTTTGTGTGGCCAAAATTTAATACATTCCAGTCTGGGCTTTCTTTTTATATTGTTATTCCTGAATAACCTATTTCAAATTGATTGTAAGGTGGCAAGGTATTGTTATTGTTTTTTTCCCCCCAATTAAATGGCAATATAGGGAACAGAGAATAAATTTAAACTTGTAATAATAAGATTTAATTATAAATTTTTATGGCAAGCATTGTTATATTAATAAAGCCAATTATGGTAAAATACTATAGAGCATGTTATATTCATTTTTTATTCCAAAGAACATGTTGATACTTCACTTCTAATCTTCTCACTAGTCTTTTTGTTACCAAAGTGAAAATAGAAATGAAATGAATACTTTTATTTTACATTTATAATTTGTCAAATTTGTGATGCCAACAAAAATGACAGTAGTCAGAATTTATGAGTGAGCCAGCTCCTGGTGGGTGACATTGGGGTTTCACACAGACAGATACTTGAGTTGTATCTGCCCTTTTTCAAGATTGAAGATTTTAGTTACCTTGCAAATTGTACATTATGTAAAAAGGAAGTAGGAACACAGGGAAAATAAGAGTGAGAAATAATAAGATGAAGGTAAAGTTCATATGCCAAGTGCATGCCATAACATCATATATAATTGATAGAAGTGAAGCACAAACGTATCACTTAACCTTCGGAACCAAGAGGGAAACATGACCACATTGTGTTTCATAAAGCACTAGTTTTGGGAGGTGGTTATAGCAATTCTGTTGGAGGTGGGGAGCAGGTGCCCACATTAACTTGTTTAACACCTGCCTTTTTTACCAGATGCTAAACTCACAGATGTATTCTCTGCCCAGAAGAGTGCCCGGCTCATACACCAGGCCCTTGATAAGCTGTGGTGGATACCATCGTTCCGAGAGCTGAGTGTGTTGCCCCCTCCTTCTAGGTGTCTTCCTTATCCTGCCGAGAACTGGAGGTTATGGTCCCTGGTGCAAAATTGTTTTTTCCTTTCAGAGGCACTTATGAGACATGGGGATAAAAGCAGGGAGACTAGTTTCAACTGTCCCTGTTTTTTTTGTTTTGGAGTTTTTTTGTTTGTTTATTTCTGCTTCGTGGTGACAAGTAAGATCCTAGAAATGCGAGGGGTTTGACATTTTGACATGAGTACAAAGTGTCTGACTTCCCATATATTGAGAGGCAGTTGTGGTTGGGGCAGCAAGAATGAAGGGTTTGCAGGCCGAGTAGTTCTGGTGGCAGCCTCACTGGTAGTGCCTCCCTTGGGAGGGTCCATTCTGAGGTCATCTGGGAGTCAGTCCTTCCTAGAGGCTTAGCCAAGACCCTGTTCTTTCAGCACCCACTGATTTTTGTAGGCATCCAATTCCCTATATTAAATGTTCCTGCTTAAAACACCTAGAGTAATTGCTGTTCTCTACACTTGAATCCTGAATGATACCTGATCAATATTTGTTGACTATTGAATAAGTATAGCCATGTAAGTGTGAGAAATATTATGTTAGCACATTAAAGGCTATAGAAGTCCCACAATAAAAATACTACGTTAACTTGTTTAACCCAACTTTTCGCAACATTTACCATGCCACTTGAACAAGTGGGATGATGTTTTCATGGAAGAGCAGGTAGGGAACCACCGAGTAACACAATTCAGCATTCATAAGATTAAAACCAAATCAGTTACCAATAAACAATTAAAATAGAATTAGGGCCGGCCGAGTGGCGCGATGGTTAAGAACTGGCTTGGGAGGTCAGAGGGCCCCGGTTCGGATCCCATATATGATGGCCAGTGACACTGCCCTCTACAGCTAAGATGCTGAACAACAGCTCAACCTGGAGCTGGGCTGCCGTGAGTCTCCGGCAACGGCATGGGCTGCAGCCCCTGTGGCAGTGGGTTGCCATGGGCTACCGTGTGTAGCCAGCAGCCGCAGTGAGCGGCCAGCAGCCGCAGTGAGCGGCCGTCCAGAAGCCAGCGACTGATCTGCCTCACCCGGGAAGAGCGCAATGATGGTGCCAACTTGGGCCAGTGAAGCAACGTCCTCCACAACTAGACTGAAGAACAAAATGACAGCAACTTGTCTGTTCCCCTTCCCCCAATTCCCCAGCACTGTTCCCATCCCCCAATTCCCCAATAAAAATCTTTAAAAAAAAATAGAATTAAAAAAATTTTAAAAATAAAGCTACAGTAATTAAGGCAATGTAGTATTGGCACAGGGGTTGTCAAATAGACCAATGGAACAGACTAGAAGGTCCAGAACAGACCTTCTCATATGTGGACAGTGGATTTATGACAAAGGTGCCATTGCAGAGCGGTGGGGAAAGGATGGTCCTTTTTTCCTGATTTTAAAAAAATATTTTTATTAAAATACAGCTAACATACCATATTATATTGGTTTCAGGTGTACACCATACTTATTCAACATTTGTATACCTAAAGAAGTGATCACCATGATAAGCCCAGCAACCATCTGACAGGGTACCATGTTATCACAATATGATTGACTATATTCCCTATGCTGTACATTACATCCCCATGACTTATTTTTTTTATACCTTGAAATTTTGACCACTTATTGCCCTTCACCTTTTCCTCCTTTTTAAATTTTCAGTTATAGTTGATATTCAATATTATTTTATATTAATTTCAGGTGTACAGCATAGTGGTTAGACATTCATATAATTTAAGAAGTGATCCCCTTGAATAGTCTAGTGCCCATCTGGCACTATACATGGCTATTATTATATCATTGACTATCTTGCCTATGCTCTGCTTTACATCCCCATGACTATTTTGTAACTACCAATTTCTACTTTTTTTAAATAATTGATTTTTCAGTTACAGTTAACATACAATATTATATTAGTTTTAAATGTACAACATAGTGATTAGACATTTATATAACTTACAAAGTGATCATCCCAATAAATCTAGTACTCTTCTGACACTATACATAGTTTTTACAATATTTTTTTGACATTCAATATTAGTTTATATTAATTTCAGGTGTACAGGATAATGGTAAGACATTTATATAATTTAAGAAATTAATCATTATGAAATGATTCCCCTGACTAGTCTAGCACCCACCTGGCACTGTACATAGTTATTACCATATTATTGACTGTATTCCCTATGCTTTAATTTACATCCCCATAACTACTTTGTAACAACCAATTTGTATTTATTAATCCCTTCCCCTTTTTCAACCACACCTCCAACCCCCTCCCATCTAGCAACCATCAAAATGTTTTCTGTATCTATAAGTTTGTTTTTGTTCTTTTTTGTTTATTTTGTTCTTCAGATTCCACATATAAGCAAAATCTCATTGCATCTGTCTTGCTCTGTCTGACATACTCCACTCAGTATAATACCCTCCAGGTCCACTCATGCCACCGCAGATGGCAAGAACTGATTTCCTTCTATGGCTGAGCAATATTCCATTGCATATATGTATCACCTCTGCTTTGTCCATTCTTCCATCAACAGACCCCAGGCTACCTCCACATCTTGGCTAAATAATGCTGCAACAAACATATGGATGCATTGGTCTTCCCAAAGTAGCGTTTTGGGTTTCTTCGGATAAATACCCCAAAGTAGGATTACTGGGTCGTTCTTTGTCTCTTGTAGTCTTTGTTTTAAAGTCTATTTTGTCTGGTGTAAGTGTTGCTACCCCAGATTTTTTCCATTCTTTTCATTTCCATTTTTTTTAAAGATTTTATTGGGGAATTGGGGGAGGGGAACAGTATTAGGGAATTGGGGGAAGGGAAGCAGATAAGTTGCTGTCCGTTTTTTCTTCAGTCTAGTGGAGGACGTTGCTTCACTGGCTTATGTTGGTATTATCATTGTGCTCTTCCTGGGTGAGGCTGATCAGTCGCAGGCCTCTGGATGGCAGCTCACACTGGCTGCTGGCTGCTCACGCTGGCTGCCGGCCACACAGGGTAGCTTATGGCAGCCCACTGCAGCAGGGGCTGCAGCCTACGCCATCGCTGGCGACTAATGGCAGCCCAGCTCCAGGTCGAGCTGTTGTTCACCATCTTAGCTGTAGAGGGCAGTGTCACTGGCTCTCATGTGGGATCTGAACCGGGGCCCTGCTGTGCAGAGCTGGCGTCCCAAGCCAGCTCTTAACCAACGTGCCACTCGGCCGACCCTCATTTCCATTTTCATGAAATAATTTTTTCCATCCCTTTACTTTCTGTCTGTGTGTGTCTTTATACCTGAAGTGAGTCTCCTGTAGGCAGCATACATAAGGGTCTTGTTTCCTTATCCATTCAGCTCTCCTATGTCTTCTGATTGGAGCATTTAATCTATTTACATTTAAAGTAATTATTGATAGATATGTAGCTATTTCAATTTTATTCATAATTTTGACTTTTTTTTTTCAATCTTAAGTCTCTCTAACATTCTTTGTAATACTGGTTTGGTGATGAACTCCTTTAGCTCTTTCTTGTCTGGGAAGCTCTTTATCTGTCCTATGATTTTAAATGATAGCCTTGCTGGATAGAGTATCCTGAGTTGTAGGTCTTTGCTTTTCATCATGTTGAATATTTCGTGCCAATCCTTTCTGGCCTACAAAGTTTCTGTTGAGCAATCAGCTGACAGTCTTATGGGAGCTCCATTATAAGTTACTAGTTGCCTTTCTCTTGCTGCTTTTAGGATTCTGTCTTTGTCTTCAACCTTTGCCATTTTAATTACAATGTGTC